TCATGATTAGTTAACGAATCAATTCCGTTGGTAATAATTATTAATAGTATGGAAATTGATGTAACGAGGAGGGGGAAAAGAGGTTCTTAACCGCAAGAGATAGGTGCATGGTTAAAAACAATTGAGAAATTTATTGCGCACTCACATCGCGAATCGTTTCTATGATACGATCGCTGATCGAATTCGATAAATCGTGACGCTAATGCATACTGTCACAAAACAATGATGTTAACGAGAAGTTGTAACGCGAGTTTGAATGACAAAAAGTAATTGCTAACTTTATCGATAAGAATTTATGCGAGTTTGTGTCTCCGATGAATTTTGTTTAATCTCAACATAGATAACAATTGATATTTCAATGTTTTTTATCAGAATGAACGAAAGTGTATTATTTTCGAATTTTCGAATATTTCAAACGGTTCTTTACACAAAAATCGTAATGTCTGTTTCCTCTTTTCTCTTCTTTTTAAAAATGAAAACATGGAAAGGTTAGTTGAAAGAAAAGTAGCAGCCCACGCACGAAATATCAATAGTCTCTGAACATGGATGTTTTTCTAAGAGTCTATACATACGCGTTCGCCACGCCACGCAACACTTGCGTCAAGATAATAAACTAAGCCATTCTATATTTTATTTTTAAAGTCACGATAAAATTTTTATCTCTTGGAAAATTTATTAATTTTAAATCGAAATTAGACATGTATACGTTCCAAACGAATTATATACTTGTTCGCGATGTTTTTTCCGCAATGAATACGCACTCTGATGCAACCTAAACTGGTTAGTTTACAACCAAGAACATAGTAGCGTGTAATTGTCTAGAAATTATGGAATGGAAACTTTTGGAACAAAGTTTCTAACCCGACATCGGTTTGCCTTTTGTCGCGAATGCGGACGGATCTGCACTTTGACGCACAAACTCCCTCGCTTTGAATGAAAAAGAATGTGAAACGCAGGGGTGTAGTAGGCAGTCGGGATCCGAGCGAGGAATTGACGGCTAATTTTCGTTAAAAAGCGGTGAATAGTGTAGGTCGCAGTAGCAGCAACGATAGGGTTTCGAAGAATGGACGAACGGAGGAATGAGAGGAACGGTGAAACAGAGGGAAATGGGGAAACGGTTGAATATCGGGGAAACGGTTATACGTTTAATGAAAAACCGTGTGGCTGCATCGCGTGCACATCCCGTAACTGTATTATCTTGCAAGTTTATTCATTCGGCGGTAGTGGAGAAAACAGTTCGCATTCCCGGTTTAATTCGCGATATCACGACCGTGGTGCATTCAGAATGGCTAATTAATCGAGCTAATAATTAAAATGTACGTATTGCGCGCCAGCGTCACCGGTAAACTTTTCTATTCGACTTTGCCAACGAATATTTTATGATATGAGATCAATATAATAATCATTTTACTTGAAAAAGTGTTTGTTTTAAATTTTCGAACTGTGTTATTGCTTTAAGAACGTTTTTAATGTTAAAATACGATTGATTATTCCCGCGTTTCACCGTGTTGTTCACAGATATTGATATTTATAAAAGAAAATACAATTTATATGCAAATTGATGGGACTCACCTGTCGATAAAACCATCTCCGTCGCCGTCGCATGCTTGAAACAGCTTCCTGACGCGTTCCTCGTCGCAGATGGAGCCTGCTTCACTTTCAGCATCCGCAGTTTGTGACATTTTCACTTTATCTTTTGTTTATCCATTGTAACGAATTATCAGCACACTATACCGCTGTTTCGTGTCCATCTTTTCTTACGTTTTCTCCTTGTCACGTTCAGAAATTGATTATAACGCTACTCGCATCTCGAGCTTTTTTCGTTGCACAGGTACATCTTTCAGAACACAATTATCGTATTAAAATCAATGTAAATCTTTCGAATTTTGGCAACGAGACGTTCTTGGGTCTTTGAACTCGCGTCAAACATATAGAACCAACACGATGGATCGTTAAGTCACGTGTTGCATCGCGATTCATTAATCGATTTCGAGAGATATATACTCAAACCATCGACCGCCTCCGCAATCACGTTCGAGGAATGAAAAGGTCTACGAACCTCAGTGGAAGCAACGGCTATTTTTAGACCGCTTAAAGTATGTAGATTCCCTTGTTCCAGAAGACTTTACTGATACATAAGGTATAAACAGATCAACTACAAGAGCGCGCATCATTCTCTCGCTAATATATTTTTAACGCACGAATTTCTTTAAAATTTTACAACACAACTTCACGTAGACGTTTGTCTTGTCACTGGATCATCGAAAAGGATAAGACAGTTTCGTTTTTTCCGTGTCGTTGTGCACACATGAGAACTTGTAACCGCCGTTTCCAGTGTCACTGAGTCACTAACCCTAACCTCAAAACCGGACTCGAGACTCGAGACTCACCCACCCTTGCGAGACGTATAGCGGCAATAAAAACTATCGATTGAGCGTTGCGCGGTCAAAAAACTTTGACAGCTCGCGCCATCTTGAAATTTTCGTACGATGAAAACAAAGATGGCGACCATAGCAGTGAGCCGGCAAACGGCATGTTCCAGTTTCACCGTCAGATGTCACCACATGAAGTGATGAATCTCTCAGTAAACGAATAATTTAAAAAATTACGTAAACGTAAAGACAAGAGAAATATCAAAAATAAATTATGTTTATTACCAATATTTTTGAAGAAAAATACAACTAAATTTTTTTGTACATATGAGGTAACTTAAAAATAGTATAAATTTCATATATATATATTTATATTAATGTAATATTTATAATAAAGATTTACGATTTTAACTTTTCAGCCAACGTAGGCAAAAGTTTTTTCAGTTTACCTGCATCGTGACTATAAGCCCACATTATACATCGAATATGTCCTTCGGTGGGTAAACCTTCAAGCTCACCATCCGTCTCGAACCATTTCTTTTGTTCTTTGACACGATCTACAACATTTTGAAGATTCTTATTCCTCTCTATATCCCAGGTAATACTCGAATCTGGAACTTGAACGTTTCTCAGTTTCTTATAATCTCCATCCACTTCTTCGTATGCTCTGCAGAGTATATCAAAAAAATAATTTCCGGTAAAAATTTTAATAACAATTATTAAATTATCTTAATGAAAATTGACTTACTTAAGAAATCCATTATCTTCGATTTTGTACTTATCCGCCAATGGCTTGTAGGATCGTACTAAATCGATGGATAAATAATCGAAGTTCATCTTTGCTCGGCCATTTACTTTGAAATCCGTGATCCAATTGTCGAACACTTCTATAGCTTCTTTTATATTCTTGAGTTTTTGCTCGTCCTTTGTGCACGATATCACCCGCTCAGCTCTTTTCACAAGGCCAGAGATCGCGTGGTACTGATAATTTAGATCCCTACCTTCCAGTAACTTGATAGTCTGCAAAGCCTTCTCTTTATCTTTAAAACCGAGTCCGCTCTCCTCTTTTTCAGTCTTTTCTTCGTCGGTCGATCGTCTCGATTTTTTCTCCGGTTCTTCATTCTCGTCGTCATCGCTGGACGAGCTGTCGTGCTTCCTCTTCTTAGCCTTGTTCTTGACATCCTCGTCGATCTCCATATCTTCGTTCTCAGATCCAAACTTTTCCTCCACCTGAGCTACGAGTTTCTTCAATTTGCTCGGTTCTGGACTGTAGCCCAACATGATGCACTGTACATGTTCTTTAGTTGGAAGCCCCCGAAAATCACCAACGTCGGTTTCGAACCATTGTACGTGGTCTTGTTTGATCTTATTGATAATTTTTTTCAATTTTCGATTTCTCTCGATGTCCCAAGTGGTCTCTCCGCTCGGAATTTTAACCGATCGTAGACCCTTGTAGTCACCTTTCTCTTTTTTGTACGCGCTAAAACATTACAACAAACACGATCACTCGATTTGAAAGGAAATTTATTCGCAGAGAAAAGAAAAATCTAGTAATAGTTACTTATAGAATTCTTCCTCCAGAACATCGTACTTTTTGGCAAGGCTCTTGAAGCCTTTTATAGTCTCGATTGGCAAGTAAGCGAGGTTTTCTTTACTGCGATTGTTTTCTTTGTAGTTAGCGAGCCAATCCTCGAATACTTTCAAAGCTTCTCGTATATTGGCCAATTTTTCCTCGTCCCTTGTAATCTGCAGCGTTCTTTTCGCGCGGCTCACAAAACTGGCAATCACGTGGTACTGATAACTGATATCTCGACCGTCCAGAGCTTTCAGCGTGTCCAAGGCCTTTTGCTTATCCTTGAAACCCATCACGGATTCTTCCGGTTCCGTTGATTTGCTTCTCCCCATTGCTAAAATTAAATACGTTCGTTGTTATGCACGATTGAAGATTCGTACGAGATCGCGTGCATCGTGTTACACGTGAGTTGCGGCGCAAATTTGCGTGATCGATTAAAAGCTAAATATTAATAAGTTAATTCTTTAGAAAAATAGAGATACACAAACACTGGATAAGCGTATGACGCTAGAATGTCAATTTTATCGTTGACGTAGTCGACTATGAAGGGATTAATAAACAGACAATTGACTAAATTATACGTATATTCGGTATTTGCATCTTAAATGATAGTTTCGTCTATCTTAAAAAAAAAAAAAAAAAAAAAAAA